TTCATCCATTACAATATCAACCATTTGCTCTCTATTCTGAAGAAGGAAAACCATTACTATTGCCGCAAATCCATCCAATTTTGTTTAGGCACTTTATACCTCATTGGTTTCTATGAGAACATATTTCCAAAGGCTCAGAAACGAAATAGACGGTAACGGCAATACGGAGGTAAAAATTAAAGATGCATCTTAATCTTGAGACTGCATTTTCTCATTAAATGGTGGAATGTTTCAAAGAAATGACGAGTTCCGAATATTTCTTCACCACACCATTTGCAGCGCATGCTGGACTATTCCATCCACATTTTACAGCCACTTGATACTTATGCCGATGACTTGAATCAAAACATTCCAGCAATCTTTAAAAGTAAAATGCTTGCGAATCTTCAATCTATCAAAAAGGTAACACAATGACTCGTCGCAGAAGCATCATAAAAACAAACCATATTCAGGGCGTGCTTTGTACATAAAACAAAGGTAGTTTTGGATTGATTTTGTAGAGGTCTCTGCAGACCTAATTATTAGCCCGCCATAACAGCAGCACTGTTTAATGCCTGGCTACGGCAGTAGGCAATCTGAAGTTCATGTTGCTTCGCTTCTCTCAATACCAATCCAGCAATTTCCTGTGCTCTTTTACTACTATTCGCATTGAACCTGAGAAACGACTCCTATACCGTGACTTCATTAACACTCATCTGATTTTTGTGAGATACATCGACAGCGCTCAAAAATTAAGCAAACGTGGTTGCTTTCCTTGACCTGATCAACGATTATCTTTCTCACCTGCTTTACCAAAATGCTCACTAATCAATTTTGAATGCTTGGCGATAAAGAAAAATGGCTGATATTTCTTCCAATCTGAACTGTCAACCAACGTTCATGAAAAACAGGCTCATATTTGGCGATGTTCGACTTTTGTTAAGGCTTTTATCCCAAATTCTTCATCTCGAATTCTTAAAAATTTTTATCTGGCCTCCTCCGTCATCCTGGATGAGTTTCGGAGACCCAAGCTTGTCCTGTTTTGCTGGATGGGAGACCTGATGACATAAAGCATTACAGCCAAAATTTCGCGCCACGTCTTTTCTGCAACAGGCTTCCTTCAAGCAGCAGGATTGTTAGCTCCTTGTTGTTGCTGCTGAGCGCACGATTTACCTTATTCGTGTTCATATGCTTTTGGATTTAGTTTCCACCAGATTCTCAAACCCTCATCAGTCGGAAAACTAGACTATCCAGTTGAAAAATTCCTGCAGTTGCAACAGAACATACCATATTTTAAAGCAGAATGTGTAATCCCTGTTCGCAAACCCTGCTCGTTTACTCGCAACTCTTGAAAAGACGAGTTTGTGGAGGACTTATTTGCCCCGCGGTTGTATTCGTTCCAAGTAGCACTTCTTATTGAACTCATGATCTACTTGCTTCACGACAAGGTATCAGAGCCGGACAAGCGTAGTGAGAATTTCCTAGACATCCGTAAAATCAATTGATGTGCGATCGATGTGCCATAGTGTGGTTGCATTTCCAATTCTTCAACTTCGCCCGCATCTTCTGCATCAGCATTACAAACATTTCCCACTGCATCCAACCTTTCGATACCAGTTGCTGTTGCCCGGAGATCCACGTTTGTAGTATGATTCTCACCCTTTATTTTTACCACCTCAGTCATTGAGGTAATTTCGACGCATGTACCCCTGGTATTAAAAAATCATCTGTCACATGCCACCCCGGGGCGGACCGCCACTCTGCCCCCCGGGACGGACTGCCACTCTGCACCCCCCCCCACGGGGTGGACCACAACTCTGCACCCTCACTATGCTACGCCTCTGGTTAAACACCTACTGACCAGGCGTCACCAGATTGAGCTTGGGTTATCATTCACACTTATCTTACTCCACCCTGATTCCCGCTTCCTCCCTTTCGCCGAGACTGTCGCGATAAACCGGATGAACCCGGCTTTGAGTGCTCAAAAATCTGTCAATGATAGGAGGGGCAGCACCGAAACATCTCCAGCTATCTGTCCTTTTAAAGCTACCATGGTCATAGTTTTGGAATTTCTGTCATTCGCAAGTCAAGTCAAAACAAACATTTTACACCTAAAATGGTGCACTATAGACATTTACACTATAACTGCGGATAGACTGAATTCATGGCGCCAGTTAAAATAAAAACATACAGATTGAAGAATTAAAAAATCAAAAACATCTCATTCATGCAACAGCATGCGCAAATCACTTGTGACTATCGTATGGTTGACAAGAAAGCATGACAAATGAGGCAAGATTGTGTTACGATACGAAGTACTGTGAGAGAATATAAGTTGAACTTGAGCGTGTTTATGAAACACATAATGTTAGTGAGAATTCATTATGTGGTGGATGAAAGTGTTCATTTAGGTCCTTAGAAGAATCATTCATGCAAGCGTTGAAATGCTTATGAGCAATAAAATAAACTAAGGAATCTCTAGGCAAGCCGTTACATCTGGAATTATGATCGACCGCACAAGCAAAACAGAGTCCTTTTGCAGCAGTTCAGGGAAGGTTACTGGGGAACAGTACAACCAGTGGGTAGTATGCATGTATTTACAAATATAAAATTAAGCTTCGTGGTACGGAGAACTTCTTAAGTCGGAGAGCATGGAAAAATAATTTGCTGGGCTTGTGAAGGGTCTCCACTACGTGTATGCACCAAGTGATATTTTCTGAAAAATGAAATCCGAAGTATTTGACAGTGGATGAAATAGAATTGGTATGGCACTCCAATGTTAATGGAGGAGAGGCATGTAAAATGACTGGCAAATGGTCGTGAGTGAGAAATGGAATTTTACATCAGTACATTTCAAAGCATTAAAGATGAGGGACTTGGTTGAGGACCAATTCGCAGATTCCTCTAAATCACATTGAAGCCTCATGGTCTCTATGGAGGGAGCTCTTCACCTCTATTTTTTGTTTAGTCATATACTTGCATAACGGTTATTTTTAAGTTACTCAGGAGACAATGCGGAACGCATGCATCTACCAGCTTGCGTCGTCTTTCCGCGCTTTTTAAACTGCTAAAGAGAACCAACTGATTTAAAGATATCTTGTTGCTTTCCGGATGACAGCGTTCCTCATTGTGTACCGTGTTTCTCAACATTTGTTGAGAAACGCACGTGACCAGCTGCTTGAGTGGCGAAGGAGCATGCAAATGTCAGTCAAAATGCATCACACGCTGGACGGCATTCCGTCCAGGGGAAGGTGGCCACCAGCTTCACAAAGGCAAGACAAAACTTCCGATGTACTCGGTCTGGTTACGCGATTGTTTCAGCCACTTAATTACGGTAACCTTAACAAATTGAAGTAGGCTGCCGGCGCTCTGTCGGTCGTTTATCCTAAATGGCTCATAGAAATTTGCACGCATGCAACAGTCAAGTGTGTGTCCGGCGACCGAACTGGCAAGCAGATTCAGACCATCCGTGACCACGTATCACGTAATTTCCCATAAAATCTTTATATAAAGTCCGATCACAGTCCCACCGTTGTACTCGCTAACCCTATTGTATTCAAGCTAGACATGACCTAGATAGCCTGTGTCGCTTACTATTTGATGAACTTGGGATCATAGTTTTTATGACCTGGAGCAATTTTCCTTTATGCTACAGTCGAACGGTCAGTGTCTGTGCTCTATTGATTCTCATTAATTTTCTAGGCAAACGGACGGCTTCGTTAGCATTTATTTTATTTTTCCTTTTGTTAGCTATGCTTTGCTTTTCCTTGGCCATTCGTAAACTTCGCCAGTACAGTTCCATTTCCACTGGCCTGGCTCGTCACGCTTCGGTGCATGAATGTTGACTGTTTAACTGAGCTGAAGTGATCCGTACTGTACTATCACTTAAGCCCACTTTAATGCTTGTCCAGCGTCATTCGCCAAAATTTCATTTCCAATTTCGAGTGAATTCGATAGTTCTGATTACCCAAGTGACTCCAGTTTGCATATAGTTGAGGTTATAGAATAACTACTGCAGGACCGGTTCATTATTGATGCTTCTCACTAGTAGACTTTAGGTCTTATCCCCATATCATCTTCGCCACTTGCATGATGATTTGGATTTAGACATAACATTATTGCAGATATAACGAAACTAACTCCTTAAATATGTTTAAGGAACTACCTTAATAGTTTTTTGCGAAGTAAACATAACGACTAGGTTGCTGCAAAGCGGAAAATATAGTACATTACCATAGGGGCTATTTAACAAGCCTTGCATCCAAGGCCCTGAAAAAGTGGACGGTTCAATTTTGCCAATGTAAGGTAGCTGTTAGTCCCCTTCCTTTTGAGTACATTGTCCCCTATCCAGAGTGTCGCTATACCCCCTCAATGTGAGCGCACTGTCCCTCTAACTGACGTCGCCAGCTAAGCTACCAAACATTCCATTGTGAGTTGGTGCTGTCATCACATACACTTGGACTACTGTTATTTTGTTTCACGTCACACAAAGTCAGCCGCGAGCAAATATCGACTGACCACCCCTTTGCTCTGCTCTCGTTTGCTACTTGTACCGAGGTGCTAACTGCTTCACCCCAGTTGTCATTGCGAGTTTGCGCTGATTCTTCTGGTGTTATTCTGCCTTATATCTAGTTCTACTCGTTTCTTCGCACCGCTACTCAATCTCATCACTCAAGTGTGATTGAACCATACACTATGATTGAGTAGCTATAAATTGGCTACCAGCTATATGAGCGGACTGTCACACCGATTGTCTCGCTGTGAAACATACACCCTGGATGGGAGCAATGGCATTGGCCGTTGCTTGTTTAAATTGAAAACGCTGCTACAGAGGTGCACATTGTTATCCTTTTATACTTTGTTGTCACTAGCACCGTTTCCGACGAGTGGTTTGTCCTCGGATTTTTACCTAGCGTGCGAGCGTTACTTAAGCCATTCGAATGAATTTCATTTTTTACGTTGCAATATTTTCTCAATGTTGAATAGCATAAGTCTCTACATTTACCGATCACTACTCTCAGCGGAACACCGGTTCACATTCTTTCGGTCCCTGTGGTTGATCTGGTCGATGCTGTTCGGCGCGGCAGTAAACGCTGATAACCCACGTGGAGTGGCCTCCCGATTTCTAGCAAACATCTGGGCGTTGTTCGCTCTCGTATTCCTGGCATCATACACGGCGAATTTGGCCGCTTTCATGATAGCCAAAGAAGATTACTACGATTTAAGTGGGATGAATGATTGGAGAGTAAGTTGAAGATGCAATATTTATTCCCTACCTCATCCGTACTTGAACCCTAATCAGTTGGGTGACCGTAACCGTACTATTTTATCTGCTTGCAAGAAAGTTCAGTTTAGCCGACAATGTTGGATGCATCTTCTATGCTCTCATCACACTAGTAACATTTAACTTTATTCAAGAATTTAGTACACTATCAATATTGTTTCGGCAGCCATTGTATTTTACTTTAACCAAGCGAATATTGTACATAAGTCGAAAAACCTCGACTCATCATGTTGTAATATCTGAGATGAAAAATCTATCAAAATTACCTTCCAATCAGGTATGAACCGTTGTGTCAAGTGTTGCCCGTAGTGACCCGGAGACTTAAGGATGGTGGTCACAAATAAAATCCCAATGGTCCCGAGTTCGATGTATGTTAACTCTAGCTGAGGAGATCAAATAAGATCGAAACGGGTCAGGGAGTGCTGAGTTTACGGGCGGTCCCAGTGATCGAATGACCAAAGTTCACGTTACTGGGAATTGTGGTTCGCATTAAGATTGTTCATTGCGATCCATCCACACAACGTGTAGTTCAAAACGACCCTCCAATCAGTCAACATTATTTTAAAACTGAACACCCATGTATTGAGGAACAGCTAGCAAATTATTCTTTTAGTTAGGTTGAGAAACCCGGTAGACAGAAGATCTATCAGAGCCACCAGCAGAGGAACTCCAACCATTCTCAACGATCCACTGCGCAGGTGTTGCTGCTGCTGTCTCTAATAGAACTCCCATCAATAATCAATTTTTAACTAAGGTTATCAACAGCAACCAACTGGTAAGCTTAGAAGTATAGCAAGGAGTATGAGTAAGAGAAAACCACATTTCGTTTGCTCTAGCTTAGAGACTGCCTAACGTTCTGAAGTCCTGAAATGCTTCCCATCGATTTCCTCAGTTTGTATTATATAGCGATAGGAACGGAAGGGTTGGGAGAAACATTTTTCTAAACACCCAAATAGTGTGGTTATCAAAAACGCTAGCCTATTTCTCCGCTTTCCTCACTCACAGCTGCAACAGCCTTGGAATGTCAAACCACCGTTTCGATTTGCCACGATACCAAGTGGTGCAACCGAAGAGAATATAAAAATCAACTTTCCAGAAATGAGCACTTATATCCAAAAGTTTAACCGATCTACAGTGGAGGAGGGCCTTAAGGCTTTGAAAGCCGGGTAAGTGCCCCCAAAATGGCAGCGCTTGCTTCGCATACATGAAATATGGCCCTTTTTAAAATAATGTATCAGCTTAAATCTTTTAGAGCCAGTTAGAAACATTCATGCACCCAAAATATCAATTATCGGGATGAGGAGACCCCATGTGTTTTTGGGAAAAGCAGGTTGAATGTTATGTACTTAGTTTAAAAGTTTCCCAGATCTGGCCACCTCACAACATTTCATTTTCTCAAGTAGTACGAACGTATAGATATAACTGGTGACATCATTTGAAAAGACTTGATAGCGGAGCAAGTTTCCCCTCCTTCATTGTTGTGTTCATCTTATTTTTGACCAATAGCTTCAGGATTACCAAATAAGTATCCGTATGGGCATGTTACTCTCGTGCGTTCTCTGATTAATGAACCCCATTCTTGCAATAATTTATGTGCTGTTCACTTGTGTTGTAAATGGTTTAAAAATCAACCAAACACCAGTAAAGTACAAGCCAATTCATACGTTTTAGGCTTATTTTTAACCGCTAAGTCATTCTTCCAAACAGACTCAACGAAACGCAAGCAAGACCACAATTTTCAGTTCCCATGTAATTTTCTCCAAATGCAGTGAACTGGATGCTTTCATATACGATGCAAATGTGCTCGATTATTGGGCTTCCAAAGATGAAGGATGTAAGCTCAGGATTGTTGGCAATTTGTACGCTATGACTGGATACGGAATTGGATTTGCTAAAGGAAGTCGTTGGTTGGAGAAAGTGAATTCTAGGATTTTGGATTATCAGAAAAATGGTGAGTCGTTTTATTACCAACGGCATCAAACCAAATGTGGAGCAATGCAGAGTAGAGCTTCTCCATGGTTAAAATATTGAAGCTGATAGTTATTACAAGCACAAGAATAATATATACTATAATGTATCTACTCGTGCTCTCTACACATGGTTGATGGTATGTTTGCAGGGCGAAAACGGTCAGTGAATATTGAGGGGCATTGTGTACCGACGCAATCGACGGGCAGTTCAGCATTTGTTGGTGATAAACGTAAAATCCTGCATGTATCTTTCGTGATTGGGGGAAACAACTGACAGTTGTTACACGGCAACTTTGTGATTCAGCGCCCATTTCACTTGAATTGTAAGACGTTATGTCCCGAGGTATTAAATAAAAGAGGGGATCCACACATCACAGACGGAGTATCATCATGGCTAGCCGAACTACCTCCAGGTGGTACCAGCTGAGTTTTTCGTGTTAATCCCTTCTCAACGAATTGTACGGAGGCAGTGTACCAGGACTTGATGCACTTCGCCTAGCAAGCCACCTCCCTATAACAAGCCACAAACTTCTGCCTAGCAACATGGCGATGTGACGGATGTGACTCGGCACCAAAGAAATGCACTGCGTTTTACTTTTACGGAGGATCTTACCCGCCACAAGAACGTCATTCAACCCGAAGTGTATTTTGATCCCTTTCCTCGATGACGAACCCAGCGAGCCAAAGCATAAATTCATAGTCACAATAACAAACATACTGGACATGGCTATTTACCTATACAATTAGATATACAACTACCTTTATGCATACAATTATAAGTCTCGGAATATTTAACTCAATATTTTTGAAATTGCCCATTACACATATTTTTATTACCATTATCATGCATTTGCAGACGTGTCTTGCACTGCCGCGAATAAAATACTTGTTTATTTATTTGGAGGTTATAAATAAATAACTAGAAAAATAAATGGTATCTTCTTCGACGATACGAAAAGCTGTTCCCTAGAAGGAACAGATCAAAGAATAATACAGACTTTCCATGACTGCATTAATTATTTTTCAGAAATAAACATGGGCGCAATTTCAAATTAGCTAACACAAGGTAATCAGAATCCTTCTGCTATTTTTTGTCCTGCCATTGAACCAGGATTCTTCACAATCACATGACAGATGTTTGGGCCGAGTGAAAATGTAATGAAATCAAAGGGGCTGCCGTCCGAAATGTTAGGTGTATGTGTTTCGACAATTTATTCAGGCACCATCGATACCGTTTCGAATACGTTATCTAGTGACTGTGATGTCCCAATCATATGAATCACGTCTTAGACAGTTAAATGCTTACGAATCTCAAGCTTCAAATTGTAAGTGTATACACTTGCAATTTTAAGCTTAGAAGTTTGTTCCAAAGCTTTGAGTCGTCTGTTAGAAAGAAAGCTTCTCTAATTCTCGTAGTAAATTTTGTAATCATGACCTTCACTTCTTTGTTACGGATTCGCAATTTGTTGTTTAGAGATAGGTTAACACCGTTATCAAGACCGCGAATTTGACAGTTTATGATTCTGTAAAAAACAGGTTCAGCTTCATTATCCGAAGCCAAACTGAGTCAAACCCAAGTTTATCACATCGCTCTCTGTATGTCAACTTTCAGGAATATACACATAGCTTTTTCGTGAAGAGTCTCTGGACCCTCTCAAGAGCATGCTGGTCACATTTCCGCAGGTTAGACTGGATCACTGGGCAGTATTCCATACATCGCAATACATACGTTTGCTAAAGCGATATACGAGATTCCGTGAGGTAAAAATGATGGCAGATGGAACCGATGGTCTTCATGGCTTTCGACACTTGAAATTCACAATGTTGAGAAAACGTAAACGTGACTGAATATCGCACACTCAAATCGCGAACTGCCCTGCATTGCGAGACATATGCGCCTTGTACTAATAAACTGTCCGGCGGTAGGGCATTTGTACGAAAAATTCTTACACGTGTCCACGACAAATGACATGTGCCACAGTTGAGACCAGGAGTCAAGAGCAGATAGGTCATCCTGGATGAGACGTAAGACTTCCTGGATATTTTCACGTGTTTGTGAGTGGACAACTTTAATGTCATCAGCAAAGATAGATGTAACACCATTTCTTATTCTCTGTAGTATATCGTTAGTATATAATAGAAAAAGAAGAGGACCAATAGCACTCCCTTGAATCACTCCCTTGGTGAGTGCTTTTGGTTTCGTAAGATAGTCGCCGATGCGCACCACCTGCTGTCTACCAATTATATGTGAAGAGAGCCAAGAAAACATCGGTAATCCAATGCCTATAACCTTGTTTGTTTAGTAACCTTCTGTGAGGCACTCTATCAAAGGATTTCTCATATCCACCAACCTGAATGCAACACTGTAGCCGGTGTTTATGAAAGTAGTTGGGTGGTCTGCCTGGCAATTTGCGCAGGATCGACACAACGCGAAGTCGTGTAGCGAAATGCTGATGACGCTATCCTTGTTAAAGAATACAAATAGATCATCTTTCACTACTGTTTCCATTATTCTACATAAGGTGGGCGTGTGATTGACGGGACGAAATTTTAAACCTCGAAGTGCGGCGCCATTTTTGTTTTGCGGCATGACGACAAAAGATTTCCATTAAGTAGGGTTTACTCCGTTGTTAAAAGAGAGCAAAAAGATTGGAGGGTCAAGTTTGGACTACACGTTGTGTGATGGGATTGCGACACGTAATCTCAATGTAATGGACCGTGAATCAAATTGAAGTGAACCTTAGTCACTGCGATCACTGGGACCGTACACAACGCAGATGGAAATTGGGTGTTGTCCGTCCGAAAACACTGCACAACCACGAAGCGTTTCGATGTAATTTCATAACATCAGGTGGAGACAGCAGGCCTCGAACATGCTCTCTCCACTGAGGAGATGAAATTACATCGAAACGCGTCGTGGTTGTGCAGTGTTTTCGGGCGGGCAACACCCAATTTCCATCTGCTTTGAGTACGGTCCCAGTGATCGCAGTGACTAAGGTTCACTTCAATCTGAATCACGATCCATTACCTTGAGACTGTGCGTCGCAATCCAATCACACAACGTGTAGTCCAAAATTGACCCTCCAATTAGTCATTTACCGTTGTGCCAAGCGTTGCCCGCCGTGACCCGGTAGCCAAAGGGGTAGAGGTTTCGGCTACTATTCCAATGGTCGCGGGTTCGAGGCCTGCTGTCTCCACCTGATGAGATGAAATTACATCGAAACGCGTCGTGGTTGTGCAGTGTTTTCGGACGGGCAACACCCAATTTCCATATGCTTTGTGCGTAAAGATGTTGAGCAAAAGCAGAAAGAATTCACTACCACTGATTTTTTATTAAACATTTGTGAGCCCATATTCATCTGCGCATGTTAACTAGCATAAGCGAGAGACTTGGCCAGTGATTTCCGCCTTAGTGAATTCCACTGTACATAGACTTTCATTGTGTTGCAGCATGCTAAATGTTGGTGTGTCTGATTATTCAATGAGCATTGCTTTGTCAAAATAAGCACTCAAAGCTTTGCAGATATTACCTGGTGCGTCCTAATAAGTTCCACCAGGCGTGGTGATAAAACTGAAACTGTTGCTGCAACGCGAACCCTGGGAACGGAATAGTTTGCTAGCTCAGCTGTTTTGCGAGAGCCGTTCAGAGATTTATACTCTTCTAGAATGAGCGTTTTGTCTTTTTGCTGCCTCTGTTCTTCGACGAGCTTGGACTGCTGTAATAATAGCGCAAAGTCAGCAGTTAACTTGAATTTCTGCCGAATCTTATGAAGCTTTCGGGCTGCCTTCAAAGCCTTGCGATCGCATTTATGTTTAGTATAATAAGCACATTTTAGTGGTACTATTTAATAAATGCAGAAGCCAATGATACCATAAAACTGGTCCATCGCATGTTAACGACATGAAGAGAGAAAGAAGTTGTCCCAATTCATCGGATGAACCAAGTCCTTGCAAGAGCCCCAGTTGACGGAACGGAACAGATGATAATGCATTGTGTTCCGTAGATGGGCCATGCGTAGTTTCAGGCCGCATTTGATCACGAGATGATCGCTCCCCGGAAATTCATCGAGAATGTTAACACGGATTACAGGTATGCTCAAAGAAAACAGGAGATCCAGAGTACTTTCACCTCTCGTAGGTTGGGAGACGTGTTGCTGCCAGCCATTCATTTGGCTACAGGATATGCGATTTTGACATTTCAAAGGATCGTTTCTCATAGGTCATGAAATCGAAGGCAGATTGCAATCCCCTCCAATAATCTTATGTATAAATGGTAGGCTAACGGCGCATTCAAATGCAAGCGTCAAATGTCCTAGGTCTTCTTGGCTGCAGTTTGGCGCGCTGTATATACATCCCATAAGCAGCAGCTGCTGCTTAATAGATAACGTAATCGATAGTGATTCCTGGAGCTCGTTCAGCACTGGGTCCTTGAACGTTGCGGCTGCCAGCGAACTTTTCAGATAAATTACACAGCCACCACCTCGACGAATAGGCCGATTTCTCATAAAATTGTCATATCCGAAAATAGTTAACGGATTGTCAGACATGTCATCATGGTACCAAGATTTAGAACTAAATACTATATCAGGATTATTCATTAAAACAAATGAGTGTAATGTGTGGATCTTAGAGTGAAGAGAAAGAATGTTTGTCGTGTGTCCAAAAGCAACTAGTTGTTAACCTGCGGTTGCCGTGGACCTAATCCCAACAACAGTGACCACAACAATAAATCCGTTTGGTTTGACTGTGCCCTGTAAGATATATAAAAGGATTTCCCTGTTATTGTATTGGCACTGACGAGATAATACGAAATGCTAGCATCTGCCAATAATCGTCTTCTCATTTCGTTGTTCAAACTACTGAAGGGGACTAACTGTTTTAAGTATGTCAAAAACACTGAGATAGATGTGATATTTGAGGAAAATTGTTTGTGCCATGTTATAACCTCTGGGGTTTCAAGCCGTGTGCCTGGACCCAGCCCAGACATTTTTGCAAAAGTGTGTGTACTGCCAACGGTGGGAAATGATTTGGAAGTGGTCACAGCGGAGGGATTGCGATTGAGTATGACCCACCAGTAAATTGTTGGAGGAATAGTGTCCATGATTGTTGTAATAGCTTGTGGGAGCTGGAGAGTTAGGTTGTGTCCTCTGCATCATGTCACTAATAGGCTGTTGAGTACGTAACTCATTGATAAGAGTCAGTGGGTTGCTGTCATTTCCATCTCTAGGTAAAATCCGCTTACTTGCGCTCGATATACAAGGCTTCACTATACACGGTGGCGGCACACTGGTGTCAATCCATACACCACCATCAGCATAATCCGTGTGATTGTGTGATGGTCCTTACACTGTATGTAAGGTGCAAAGATGGCAGCAAGTCTTCCATAAATTTATGACAAGTGGATGTACGTCTATCCAAACAAAATGACGACACAGAATCGCCCAATGAAGCTTGCGATAATATCCTGCTAAATAATGCCACGGTTTATTATCGGTAAGATTTTCGGTTATCTTATCGGCGGACGGTTTCCACTGTAGGTTCAGTGTGTTCAGCAAATAAACACTATACTCCCTTAACAGTGTGGGGTTGCGTTAGGGATCGATAAAATAGGACATTCGGACTTCTGTTAAATACGAGAATAATCCTGAATTATGCAGAAAGCCACTAAACCAGGAACGTATAGTTACACTTGTGGTCAAGCTTTATCGCTACACAGTCTTTTCTTCGAATATATTTTCAGAAATGTTTTATACAAAATATTACATTCTTTCAGGTAAATTGCAAAGATGGAAAAAGTTCTGGCAAACAGGATCTTGTCGGAAGGATTCAGCGCTTGGGAATACCAACAAAACTCTCGGCGTCAAGAATTTTATCAGTGCATTTATTCTCCTATTGTGTGGAATATTCATATGCAGTCTACTTTTGGCACTTGAGTACTTAGTCTGCAGATATGTGCCGCCCAAGTACAGGCGTCTGATTGGGACAACATGGTGCACTACGGAAGTGAGGGTAAACCAGTTTGATCCCACTGATGAAAGGAAGCAATTCAGCGTAAGTTCCCCACGAATTGGCCACCTCGTCGCTCACTTGTAATTGATCACATTGTCATCCATAGAATAGATCAAGACCTATGAAAAAGACACCAGAACGCGCAACCGTAAGCCTGCCTAGCATGGTGATAGCGGGAAATTCATTGCAATGGGATAGTGGAGATAAGATTCTACGAGTAAAAATAGTGAAAAGGTACGCAAACATTGTAACCTCAAATTGAGAACCGGGACCGCTATATAAATCTGGCTTTGTTTGAGAGTGAGCCTTGGTACTCTCCTGTATTTCCTAATGTGTATATATAATTTTGAAAATCCCCGGCATTTTTCAATAATGACTCCGTTACGTGATCCACCAAAATCCATTTGACCATCACATCGACGGCCCTCCCATCCTGACAAAAGTGTGTGTGAAAAGTATATCATAGAGAGGATACGAACGAATCCAATGTGTCCGTAATAGAAATGCTGAACTTTCCCACCCTTACAAAGAAAAATTGCAGAACCAAGTCAATGCTGTCGCTTTAATTCGCCAGTGATAACAAAGGCGTTTTCATCTGAAGGAGTTGGAGCAAAGATAGACCTTTGAAGTGGAGCGGCGACCACTTTGGAGATAACCGTTACTCCATTACTAAGCACTTCTAGACGGATGGCGATTGTGCGTTGGTAAAATCCAGGGCCAGAGCACATTATTGTGATTGCGTAGGAAACAAAGCGTGTAGTATCGTACAGGACTTGTTCTGTGCAGCTTTCTCGTGCAGTATGCTAACCGGTACTATTTTTGCACGACTGGATTTAACACAAACACACGTAAGGGATGTTTACAGCCTTTTAATCGTCCGAGACTATTATGTGATAGGAATACGCTATGACACCACTATTTCTTTTCTTCCAGTAATCAATTAACTAACCTTAAGATTCAGTAACCAATGTTATTCGCTGGATCAGCAGGCATCTTCTTACGATTCAAAGCAGGTGCAGTGAAATCCCCGGTGTCAGCCATTTTACAGGGAACAACGCACGTTGGCGGATGGAGTTCAAGTTTTGCGCTAATGCCGACATGACGACGATCATCCCAGTGCATCTGCTTACCTGCAGAACGCTGACATTCTATGTATCATCACAAAAATCAATAAACCTTATGCTACTATGCAATAATGGCTACATTCGTTTACAGACACGAAAGAGAAATGACTGAACAAAAGCAAGTATGTAAAATCTTCTGATGAAACCGACTGTAGTCTATGAACCAGCAGAGTAACGGGTACCGGCACAAGAAACTTATTTAATAAATGAGACTGCAAAGTACTAGTGAGAAGACAAGCGTCCCGTGCAAAAATGGCAATCGAGAATGAGCAGAAAGAAAGGACCGTGTCTACAGCACCACGTATTGACGTAACATCGCGTACTTATATTACTCCAAATGAATCATAGTTCCCAGCTGAGCAGCAAGTCTTGGATTAAACCTAGCAAACACGCTCGTCGTACATCATCAGTTTGCTTTAAAGAGTGGACGTAAATACGACAAAATAATGATACAACAACTTCTTGGAAACATTTACAACAAATAGCCGGGTACAAATCTAATAGTGGTCTGCACTACAGGTTTACGGATTGAATCAATGAAGAAATTGCACAGACTACCTAACCGCAAAGACAAATTAGTGGTGGAGGGCATATCTCCTTTTTTCATTAATGCAAACATCTAAAAATGAAGAAAGCCAGCGTTTGACAGAACGTGGGAACTATGCTGTTTGCTGTGATTGCTTATTACTTATCATTGTTAATGCTTATGATTAAGAAAATGTATGTGTATACAACGAGACTCATTTTTCATAAAATAATAGATCAATGGCTACTATATATACTAGGTCAAAAAATGATGACGGATAGAAAGCGCACACAGCATCAAACACTTGCAATAAAAGATTATTGCAAACAAGATTTTCACTGCACAAATTCCAAAATGACAAAAAAGCGAAATATTACGACATGGTGATCTGCATTAAGTTATTACGCATAATCTTGTCAGCCTTTTACCCACAATTATTGGTGGCTGAGGTTTCGGCAAATAGGCGGCTGAAACCAACCATTCTCGCTTTGTCTTGGTGAAGATGGTAGCCACAATCCTCTAAGTGGAATACCGGCCTTCGTCATGTGGACTTTGACCGTCATCCTTACTACAATGACGTTAATCCTTGATTGTTTCTTTGCAACTTGGCCATTAAATAAATGTAGACGAGAATATTCGAAATAACAGATGAATTGCAGGAGAACCTAAAGCGGTAACCCCTTTTCAGAAATTTAAAAATAACGGGAAGATTACGGAAGCTGGTAGATGCGTACATTTCGTAATACCACCTCATTTACCGAGATGGTTTCAGCGTGAAACTGTCCAACCTCCCTACCCAATTGATTTCCGTGATCGCGTAGGCCTACAACGTCTTCCTGGTCTCGGTTAACCAGGCAGAACTGGACATAGCGTCCAAAGTTTTGTTGCGCCACGCTAATCCTTCAGTTTACCAAGGAATGAAACCACCTATGCGGTCCAAAATCTTTTTGTCACTCCAAGGCTGTACTGAAAGTAGACATCAACTTCCGTCATTTCCTCTGCATCCGAAGCTTGACTGATCGCATCCAGTGTTAGGTAGACATATGCATATCAGTTATGGTGCTGAGTCAGCAATACGAAATGCACGCATCTGCCAGCCTTCGTTTTCATCCCGTTCATTTCAAGTTTTAGGATAATAACTGAAATCCTACAATTGAACTGCAATAATCATGCCGATAAACTTTGATAAATGTGAGGTATTCTAGGTCCACAGAGGAGACATAAGCTAGTGTCCAGACGAAAAGAACTAAATCATCACAAAACTAACCACTTCAGCTACACCGAGCGAATCTGAGTTGAGTTGTGAGTATTAAATACGCATGTACTGAATGACTGCTTTATTCCATCAAACGGTCTTTGTAACATGCCTTTTCTTTTGTGTTACACATAAAATTTTAAGTGGCGGTGCATCAACAAACGCGGGCGTGTCATTCTTTATGTGTACCTATTCGTGGAATTCACCAATCGCACTAAGTGGGATAAGACTTCGTTTTATTTTGCCACAAATCAGTCCGCCTATCACGCACCGTCCATAAGCCAATTCACATCCATTTGCTTCAAAAAAGAAGACCGCAGCGATAAGGAGAGAACCCATGCCACTAAATTATGGTGTCTAAGCACAGGGTGAAGAAATGGTCAAACTATATGCATAGGCCGAGTTAGAGAATAACGCTAAGTATTTCCGCAAGACAGTAGTGGATTAAAAATTTAAAATCTTGCCCTAAACTTTGTTGTGGCTTAACGGCAGCCATGGTCGTGAACGGCACCTCTGTGTTTTTGACGCAAAACATAGTGGATCCCGATTGCCATGATATTTGACACCAGGATTTTGGTTCGCGTTTAGCATTTGGTTGTCGATTTCTCAATACCTATACAGACAAGACATTATGATTCTGTTTTATTATTGCTCGAACAGGTTCGTCATTGTGAACAAACCATGAACGGAAATGAATTGCAGTCAGCAATAGATCACGTGAGCGACTTCCATAAGTGCGACAATCCCCAGTGTCACAAACAACTGGTAGAATTGAGGAGACAGATTGACCAATTACGGGAGAAAATGGCACAACTACGGACCGGCATGTCTAATCACGAACAGAATAAACCGTGAGTAATGCAAGTGTAGCCCGTTTTTTAGTGTTTAGTGTGCTTCACTTATGCTGTAGCGACCTGTGGCTCATTTAGTTACCAGTAGCCTGGCTCACAAGGGGAACACCGGTAGGCAGGCTGTGTCGTCGAAGCAGACACTAGGATACAGAAAGTGAGTAGAGTACTGGAGAACAATTCGGACTCATGTCCTTGAAAAATAGACGATGTTTCTTTAAACCAATCGCCGAGAAACCATTTGATAAATTAGAACGTATTGTCCAGGGAATCCGAAAGTCTTGTTTTAACCTAGAATATTTAACGTAACGCTGTCAATGCTAACTACTATAACGTGTTCAGATTTAAAAGTCCGCCAAGCCACTGCCCAGTAAACGATCTTTTCATTTGTTGTTAAAGCAGGCCGAATAAACGAGTGAACGCACATGCCAAGATTGCGCCGATCATTGTAACTCAGGAGTTACACTTGAGGCAAATCTAAATGTTCACGCCCACATAAATAATGGGATGATCTATCCTTTGTTCAATTCAGATGGACAGCAGTGGACCCCAGTCTTCCAGCAATAAAGAAAAGGACAGGAGTACGAAAGCTGCCCTGTGAATTGGTAGATGATGTGCGCTTGACAGTCAATCACTCGTCGAGTATTCAAGCAGCCAATGAAAAAAGAAAACAAAGGAGCACATCAGAGCAGAGGAAATTATGGGATATATATTCCAAAGTCGCAGTCATCCCCATTGAGCCAAATACGATCGTCCATAAAGGAGGTACTGAGAAGCAAGGGAGCGAAAATCCTGATGAGACATGCACAATTATTCTGCCAAAGTTAGCATCTTCACCTAGCAGCAGAAGAAGAAGAAATATCTTGCATTATGAACACGTGGCAACGTCCAAACACAGTGATAGTTCAAACGACATGCGATTATCTTTGGACAAAGAAAGACAGCGAACGGAATTGCTGGTGAGCCAAATTGACACCAATCACTCAGCCTCCTTAGCAGTGACACAGAATGGAATTGACACATTACTTGGAGATGTTTGTCAGCATAAACGTGGGGTCCACGTCTCTCACATGGAAAAGCTATTACCCGTAAAACAGGCTCAATTTTCCGGGAACGATTGTGGTGAATTAGAATTTTTACGTCCTAGATTCTTAAATAATCAACCCTGTGGATTGCGAAGCGCTAGAACTGATCCCAAAATGTTGAAAACTCTAAGGCCTGAAAGCGGCTGCTGTACTACACAAGAAATACATCCACCCAATACGTGGGACAAAAGCGGAAAAGTCAAGACGGAGCGAACTATTTCAAGCACCCAGTTACCCTTTGAGAAAGAATCTGTTTTGTAAACCAATGTGTTGATTTACGAAAGCTGTAACTTTCTTTTTACATGCACATACGCGCGTCGATGTGGGAGATAGATGAATGTATACAGTTGAATTCCTCATTGTAATAAAAACTATGATTAGTATGTCATCTCATATCTCTAATGAACACGAGAAGGGTGATAATAAAAATGATACGGTATGCTTTGTTCAACATATTTACTGGTAGCGTTTCAGCAGAAAAGGTGAAAATCACACAGCATTATTTTATTGAAAGTGCCATTTTGTTTAACGAGTGCATGTGACGGATGTTTCTCCATTGGGCTGGAAAAGAGTCATTAACAAAGGTAACTGTTTGATTTTTACGGTTTAACTATTCAGTGTTTACCGTTTTTGTCAGAAAAAAAACAGTCATAACTGGAGGGAAGATTGAAACTGAGATTGTACGAACTGGCATCATTAGTCCATATGGTTCATGAGAGAGCTAAAGTTGGATAACATTGAAAGTAATCACAAAATATTTGAAAATTATAATTTCGCTAATCCATATAAGTCGAAACTCGATGGGGTTTTACGACGATTGCAAACAGTAAGCAAAAAGAGTAAGCAGAAACTAACAGACGAATGGTTTATACATTAATTTTATACTTCAGTTATGCAAAGTCGCAAAGATTAGTGGGAAGGGAAATGTGACAAGCTGATGGGAATGATGCTATTTGACTCGAACAACGAGTCTTTCCGAGTTTGATTTGCACTTCGCAGTGTTTTATAAGTCTAAACTGCAGCCTGAAAAGTGAACCTATTCTGTCTACATCTGCATATATGAAACAATGGAGTATTCGCGTATTATGGTTAAAACAACTACTTAATAATTCCAGTATGAAGTCCAGAAAAGAAACCAAAATGGTGGAAACTAGCGATAAAATGAAAGCATTTCGGTGGACTCATGAAATTAATTTACTTGAGACATGTGCAGAAACAAACGTTTCTCTTCTGTAGGGTCATATTTTTTTGATGCACCGGTTTCCAGGTATATCTTACTCGGCTTTACACGGATTATATCCGTAAAGCAGGTGGGTTAGGGCAATATCATGGCACTTGTAAACATAGACATATAGGTGCGCAAAATATAACCATAAAAAGCATATAAAAATATATATGCGTGTAGCTATAAATACGTATATCTTGCTAATATTGCAGCTGCATACAGCATGCTTCTTCACCGCATTTGGCCTACACTGATACATTTAGACTAGATCACCTTAACCTAGATTAAAAGTACTGTATCTCTATATTTGCTTTGCTAGTTTATGTTATTTGGATGCATATGCCGTTCTAATTTCGTATTTCTGTTCCATTGAATTCTGTGTTAGTTGCTTGATATTCCCAGTGAATCTGCGCTTGAACTAAATGCTAACAAGCTGCATACATGCGCAACCACACCACCTCAAGTATACTGGCTCCAGGAGACAGTTAATCCTTGCTGGGTTTACGAGCTGCACGGTACTCTTGGCCGTGATTGCCTTAAAGTGTGGTTCCATCCAGTGTGAAACGGACTACGGCCCAGCCACCGCCAAGTGTACAGCTGATACGCATGGTATTCCAATTAGAGTGAATAGAACATTGCCCGTGTGCATGGTGAAGGATCGCGGGCCGCATCCGTTAATGAAATGTGGCACACATGCCTCCCCTTCTTATTCCTTATGGTTTACACTGGATATAGGGTGTATGGATGGAGCTGTAGTTTGTGCTGCGCAAGCCACCCATGTTCCCTCTATAGACATGGGCGTCGTGTATCCGTCCTATGGAGGCCGCAGTGACTGGCAAATCCGCATACGGATGCCGCCAACCATGTATGAATACAGGCTGCAGAGTTCATGGGGCGCTAATGTTTGTGGCGGGATCCTGACTGAGCGTCGACCAGTAGCTGACAAAGTTGGGCTGTGGATTCTTGCCCTTGACGCCTCCTAGTGACGATCGCTGGGTGCGATTTGGTCTACGCGATTCTTCTAGCTGCTATCCCGGAAACACTATTCCGCTTGAGTTGGTTCACTGATTCATGGCGCACGGTTCTCTGCCTTTCAGGTGTATGCCTTATCGAAGACTTTGGCTAAGGATCTGAGTCACTTCCTGTTAGGCTTGGACGCCCTAGCAATATTCCATTTCGACCCTCAAATATGAATTATGCCAACAACAAGAAGAATAAATCCATGCTGCAACGGCTGTCGCGCAGTGGCCTTAGAAAAATCGCCGCCTTAGCTACTGCTTACAGCAGGGTGGATAATCGAAAACAAGCTAACCCGAGCGCCTCCCCTCTTACTTCTTCCTCGTGCACATCCCCCCACGTCCTTGTTTCATGAAAACAAATGCATCTACCAATCCAGATAGTAAGCACTCGTGTGGTTGCCCGCCAACGCAATCTGATGCCTCCGCGCAAAGCGCTCAACATCAGGTGATAAAACTTGCGCACACTTCTGGACCGGAACTCAAGTGGTCGCACTGAGCGACGCACTGCACTGGTCGCGATGGTACTGGCGCGCGCCCTGCTATCACGGCACAGTGAGACCTGGCACTCTGAGCAAATTAAGTTACATGAAGGTGGCCAAAGCCACTTCAGCACCACGTGAACATGGGGTCGGATTTGCAATATCCGATAGCCTCCATGGCCAGCTGGTGGGTGAACCGACGGGCATCAGCGCGCGACTGATGACTGTTCGCCTACGACTCGGAAGAGGTAACTTTGCCACTTTTATCAGCAAGTGCGGTCCAACCACGTGTTATCCTGATGACACGCGTGATCAATTCTACACTCAGTTATCCTCGGTGTTACTGTCTGTGACGAGGATTGACCGACTCTTTCCGCTGTGTGATTTCAACGCGCGCGTTGGGTGTGATGCATCCGTCTGGACAGATGTTATCTGTCCGCATGGCATTGGTTCCGCGAATGCGAATGTTGACAGGCTGCTCTCACTGTTTGCCACTCACGGCCTGACAATCAAAAACACTCGGTTTGCACTGAGTGCGAGTGATATAGCAACTTGGACGTACCCACGGAGTGGTCACGCTCACCTGCTCGACTATGTCATTGTACGTCAGCGTGATATGCATGAAGTGCGCATGACACGTGGACAGCATAGAGCTGAGTGTGACACTGCTCAAGAATTGGTGCGAATCAAACCGTACATCTATTTTCGGAAATCGATGTATTGCGCTCCTGCCGTAAACCGGCGTAAGTTTCACATTATCTCCATCGGTACTGTGGCGAAACGTATTGAGCTGGAGAAGGCGATGACTGCACTCTTGTGTGATGTGGAATGCATAGCCACAGTGAACGACCCGTGGCACCATATTCGCGAAGTGATGATAGCTGTTGCCGCGAAGAACTTCAGGCGCGCAAAAAGTAAGATACCGGATTAGATTGATGAAAACAATGTGACGGTTGTCGCCTTGGTGTCTGATAAGAATGCAGCATTTGCTGCACGTGTGGCAAACCCCAAGAACTTGTGGAAGTAGAGTTAGTCTCGCAAAATTCGACGGCGAATGACTCGAGAGTTCCGTCGCATCAAGAATGCAGGGTATACAATGAAAGCAAAGTAGATGGAATGCTATGCCGAACGTCGCTAACACAAGAAATTCCTTGATTCCTTGAAGGCGGTGTAGGGAGCGAGGTTGGAGCCACTGAGGAAGTTGCTCAATTCTATTTCAGGCGCTGCTTGCCCACAGATGGCGGACATAATGCAGGTGTAACAAAATCGCTTTGCGTGTCTCTTGAAGGTTCGTTCAGAGAATAACCGGCCTACGTCGAACGGCCTGAAGCCGCACGAGGTGTAGGTGAGTCTGGTGGACACACCGAGACTGGATAAGGTGGAGAGGGCACCCGCTCAGTTGCGAAACGACAAATGTGCAGGTGTTGACAGCACCCCAGCAGAAGGATTGAAACACGGCAGACCCGCGTTAGTGAGTGTGCTGCACCAGATGGTGCAACCCGTGTAGATAGAGCAGAGGGTGTCTTTTGAGTTGAAGGACGCGATTCTGTTCCCAAAGTGAAGGGCAAAGGGAGCAAGCACTTTTTCAAGAATTAGAGTGCGATCAATTTGCTGAGTTGTATGGACAGGGCGACTGACTGAATTTCGCTCAAACGTCTCGTCTTTCACGTTGTAGAACCGAACGTAGCGGAAGAGCAGTGTGGATTCCTATCAGGTTGCAGCACCATAGATATGGTATTTGCGGCTCGTCAGTTGCAGGAGAAGTACAGAGAGCGATACCAGTCTTTGTACTCGCTGTTTGTTGATTTTACCAAGGCACTTGTTACGGTGAACCGCGAGGCATTGTCGCTAGTGTTGCGTACTTTGTTGACCGGGTAAGTTTCATCTTAATTGGATGCCTCCACAGTGGTATGCGGGCGAAGGTGCAGCTGAGTGGACAGACCTCGGATGACTGTTTTTGTCTCTGGTGTGAAACAACGCTGTGTCTTAGCCCCTGCCCTGTTTATTATTTATCATTATGCAATGATGTCTTGCGCTTTTGATGCGGGTTGTGTTTACTGTGTCCGTGTGGAGCACCATATTGATGGTGTGTTACTGAACATCTGTTGTTTTGGCGCGGGAAATCTAGTCATTAGAACAACCATCTGTATGTTGCTGTTCGTTGACGACTGTGCATTGTTTGCACACAGCGCGGATAAGCTGCATCACATGACTAGTGATCCGGCTTTGACAGCGGCCATATTCGGTTTCACCATCAACATAAGGAAAACTGTCTGTCTCTTTAAGCCTTCACCGGAGCTGCGGTCTTCAATATTGTTGCGAATCAGCATTGGTGCTGTAGTATTATAAACCAGCTCCTGCTTCTGCTATCTTAGGAATATGGTGTTGACTGACTGGCAAATATACTGTGAGCTGCGTATCCACATCTCGAGAGCAGCGGCGGCATTCGGGAAGCTTGAGTACCGACCGTGGAACGTCTATAAACTTACCGTCGGCACGAAGCTAATGGTGTACACATACATGGGGCTGTCTGTCCTT